CAAATTCATAAATTAATTATAAAAAATATATTTAATGTATCTTTAACATATATCTTAAAAGTACAAATGAGACAAATTCATAAATTAATTATAAAAAATATATTTATTATATTTTAAACTTACATAATAAAAATTAAAAACACTAAAAAATTTATTAGTATGCAGCCTTTAGATATAATAGAAAGGAAAAATCGGAGCACATATGGAAGAACTGCGATCCTTGTACAAATTGATTTTTGATTTTTTTGTCTAAGTCACATTTTAACATCAATTTAAAGGTTTTTGTTTGGGCTGTGGTTATTGTCATAAAAAAATTTTGTTAAGTCACTAATTTTAATTATAATTTTATTAATTTATAATTTTTTTAAATAAATTAGTTATAATATTAAAAAAATTTTATTTATAAATTAATTTTAATGTGTTAAATAATAAATATTAATTATTTTATTAATTATCAACTATTTTTAATAAATAAATTAAGATAAAAATTTAATAATTTTAATGACTTTAACAAATTTAATGGACTATAAATTTTTACGATTTATACTTATTAAATTACAAAATATAAATGGTTAAATCTCTAATTTGGTCCCTGAACTATTGCACAAACCCTCTAATTTAGTTCATAAACTAAAAAAATCTTTGATTTGATCCCTCAATTGTTGTACGAATTCCCAATTTAGTCTCTAATATTTATTAATTTGCTCCAAATTGGTCTTTCTATACAAAAAACAACTAACATGTCTATTACTTAACGATGAAAAATAATAACTTAATGACGAAAAATAATAACTTAACGATCATATGTCACATTAATAACGAGACACATTAGGTGTTTTTTATATAGAAAAACTAACTTGAGATAAATTGGTAAACATTAGGGACCAAATTGAAGAGTTGTACAATAGTTTAGAGGCCAAATCAAGGATTTTTTTAGTTTATGGATCAAATTGAAGATCTGTACAATAATTCAAGAACCAAATTAAAGATTTAACCAATATAAATTATTAA